GAGGAACTTCGGGTTTGCTTGGAACATAAAAACAGGCTTGAGAGACAAATGGTGGATTATGATTAAATGGTGAAAGACTTGGAGCATAAGATTATCTCCACCGTGGAACTTATGAAGCATTAGAAGCAAGAATGAGGAAAATTGCAGACGGAGCATGATAAAGTGATAAAGGGAGGCAAAGGATTTGAAGAAAACCATGGCAGATTAGGCTTCAACTTCAACAGAACTACGCCCATACTGTCGCTGACGGTTAAGCTCGAAAAATTTGGTTACTAATGACACTCCAACCATCCGGGAACACTCCAACCATCAATGCCCCACGTGGCATTTCATTTCAGTAACTAATATCTTTCATTTCTTAATAAATAATTAAATAAAAAGTCTTAATCTCAAAACTCTCCATGTTAATATACTTTGTTTGTCAGTCGACTGAAGTAGAACAAGGTAAGCTAGTTCATGCAAAATTTCTTTAGCAATCTGAAATTCCAAAGATGGTACTAATTATTCAGGAAGAGATAGATTGGCAGGCTGATTTCTGCAGTGAAACTCCCAACACCCTCCTCACATGTTTCCTACATAGCTATCCTTCAAACTTTTGTCATGACACTTTTGCTCTTATTTTGCTATGACTCGAGTTTCGTCATGTTCTAGAGATTAGCCACGCACTCCACAAATTCCTCTCTAGCAAACTCTCTAAAGAACACTACCACAAACCTGAAACAAGCCTAAGCTCTGAATGTGACAGTGTCAGCGCCATATTCAAGTGAATGAACTTGATGTTAATTGAAGCAGTATAAACCCCCACTCTGATCCTCTCTATCCAAGGGAAGTTCTAACTCATTTTAACTGGCATGGTTGGGAAAAGGATCAGCTTCTTCGAGTTCCAATCCCAAGATTGACAAAGCCAGTCTTCTACTTGACAGACTGTTGCCCCCAGGATTCGATCTAGTCTCGTGCTAGAGAAAATAGCGTACGAATCTCATTTACTTCGCAGAAAGGCTTCCCCTCATAATTCCTCACAATATTTGATGTTTGGAGCATAGCTGCACAACGGTTGGGCTAGAAAAATTTGAAGGATATCCATTGGTTGTGGTTTTGAACCGCAACCACGCGTTTTCGGTTTGAATAGATTGCTAACCGCAGACCACATAAAAAGTAGACTGCATACTAGATTGCAAGCTTTATGGTGCGATTCAGTTTGACCACATATGTGGCTTGTTGCGATTTGGTGTCGTCCAACCACACAAATTTCCACTCCTACATCTACCTCATAGAATCAACACCTGAGACCTTTGGAAGCAAATAAAATTCATGTATGATTGAGATTGGGAAGTAGGTGAGCAGTGTGAAAGATTCATGTGCCGCAGCTACCAGTGAATGACTTACCTAGCTCTTGTAGCACTGGTAGAAGATACCAGTAAAACTATCCGAACCTAGCGCTTAGAAGCTTCCATTATTAAATGCAATAGCATTATACCGTGATTCGTGTTATTCGGCATGATAAAAAAATTTCCCGGTCCGGTAATAGACTTTTGTCGGTCTAATATTTTCATTCCATAATTGTTATTTTATCGATATGAAATGGTACCAAATGAATATAGAATTCATTTCATTTGAAAATGAATTACCAGTGAGAATTCATTGTCCAATGAATTCTTGTGTTTGATATATATATATATATATTTTTTTTATCGAAAGCTGTATCGATTTTATTAATCAGTAACTGAGGTTACATCATCCACAATTAGCTGATCCAAGATAATCATTGGTGGTCTATCAAGCCAAACAATACTCTCCTCCCATCGAGTCTCTATATGCGCCATAATATGAGCCGCCTTGTTAGCCTCTCTATATATGAATTGCCATCTTCCATCACCCATCTGTTCCAGGTTTTTCCTGATACTCCTGCACAGTACTCCAAGCTCACTGTGAGTCTCCTCTACCGCATCCAGCAACTTCATCATCTCCATACTATCCGATTCGAGGATCGGATTCGATATATGGTGCTACCATGCAAGCTTAACACCAAAATCTGCTGCCATGACTTCCGCCATCAGAGGTGTCCAAGTGCCCCTAATCTTCTTTACCGCCGCCATCACACATTTTCCTTCAGCGTCACGTATGACTACACCCTGACTTGCTCCACCATCCAGTAAAACGCCAGCATCCGTGGCGATTGACATTGTCCTAGCTCTCGGCTGGAGCCAGACTTTTGTAGCCGGTGTTGGTGCTGGCATGTTCGTTTCATGCGGTGAATTGTCATTTCCTTGCTGATTTTGGTAGTTCTCTAGGAACTCTTTTGCTCGTTGGACGATCTCCTCTTCCGGAGTCTTATGACCATTGAAAAGTTGAGCATTTCGCTCTTTCCACAAGTACCATAACAGCATGCACCACTCCTCAAGGACATCATCCACAACCCGAGTCATTACTTCTTTCATCCAGCCATAGCAGTCATTTCCTCCGCGGGCTTCAAAACATGCCGCCACAGATGAGCTCCACCACAGTCTTGACGTCCAGTTGCAGTCTCCAAAGTGGTGGGTCTGTGTCTCATGCAAGTCACAAAAGGACATTTATCGGTCCACTTTTCACTTTTCTCACTGACATGATCGCCCATCGGGAGCACGTTGCGCATAAAGGGCCATAAGAAGTGCTTCATCTTGGGTGGAATTTTTAAGGACCACATTCTCTTCCACACTTCAGCCTCACCCATCGCATGCAGACCATGCATTATCCTATAGACTTCAAGCCATCTCTTGTATCCATCCTTCACAATGAAATCTCCAGAGTTGCTAAAGTGCCATATAATTGCGTCCCTCTCCTGCTCATTCCTAAGTGGAATTTGTTGAATAAGCTCCGCTACTTTCATCGGGAAGCAACTGTTCACCACGTCCCGATCCCACCCACCAGTAACTGGATCTATTAACTCTCGAACACAAGAGTCCACTAGCAAACCCATGGGGGCGAGGGTACAAACCAGCCCTGCTCCATTGGAATCCACTTATCACCCCATATCCTCACCTCAGATCCATTCCCGATTCTCCACCGTAACGCACTGTGAAGGAAATCTTGTGCACTCGTGATTGACCGCCAAATATAACTCGGATTATAGCCACACGACGCCTCTAAAACACTATCCTTCTTATGGTACCTGGCTTTCATTATACAAGCTGCTAGCGAGGTCGGCCGTTTATGAAGCCGCCAAAGTTGTTTTGCAAGAAGAACCGTATTAAATCCGCTCAAGTTCCTGAACCCAAGGTCGCCTTCCTCCTTTGGTAGGACTAGTTCTTCCTTTTTCACCCAGTGAGCACGTTTCTTCGAACCTCTTTGGGCCCACCAAAAGTTCAGCATCAGATTGTTGACTTCCTTGAGTACATACTCCGGGATTCAAAAATCCGACATGGGGCTTGATTGTTGATTTTCATCTTGAGGACTCTGCCCACTAGCAGCTCCCATGGGGCTTGATGTTCTTAGTGAAGGACACTACCAACTTCTAGAAATTGATAAGTTGACCTGAATCCAGCTCGTAATCATGTAAAATCTTCTTCAGTTGCAAGCTCTCCTAAGTAGTTGCTTTGAAAAAGAAAATACTGTCGTCAGCGAAAAACTAGTGGGACACCACGGGAGCACCCCTCGCCGGTTGGAACCCATGAATCCTTCCTTCCGCAATCGCTTTGTTCGTGTATGAGGACAGGCCTTCAGCATATAGTAGAAAAAGGTACGGCGATAGTGGGTCCCCCTTTCGTAACCCTCTCTCTGGTAAGAGCGGCTCCGACCGATGCCCATTAACCAACACCGAGTACTCCACCGACTGAACACACATCATCATCAGCGAGATCCAACGGGTCTCAAACCCCATTTTTACCATAACACCCTCAAGGAATCTCCACTCAACTCTATCGTAGGCCTTAGCCATATCAATCTTAGCTGCCGCAAACCCCTTGCTCCCCACTTTCTTTCGTTTCATTGAATGAAAACACTCTAAAGCTGCGATTATTTTATCTATGATGATATGTCCAGGCACAAAAGCACTTTGAGCACATCGAAACACTTTGTCTAACACTTCTTTGAGTCGATTGGCCAATACCTTAGCCACCAGTTTGTATAACACATTGCATAAACTAATTGGGAGGTACTCCATAGGTGTTGTAGGGTTCTTGACCTTCGGAATAAGGGCGATCAAAGTCTGATTTAGTCCCTTGAGCATTTGCCCGTCCTCAATGATACGGGTATTGTGTTTGATATATCATATTCAAATCTTTAGAAATACAATGAATTGAATTCCAAAATTTTGTTGGACATACATTTGGAATTGAATTAAATTAAAAGTTTCCAACTATGCCCTTATTAATTTCTCGCAGAAACAATATTCATAAAAAATTAATCTTCTATAAAATGCTTTTGCTCTCATACGTAGAATATCAAAGTGTCCTTGTTTGTTTCTATTCTAGTCATTAGTTTTTTTCGAATACTATCGTCAGTGAACGTTGCACTCTAGTTGGAGCTTCTCAATGTACTGATACAATCGAAGCAGATATATTAAATAATAAGAATATGCTGGTGGTGTTGCATTAAAATTATTGTCAATGTTCCTCATATGGCATGGGTAAGAGTCAAATAATATATGTAGAAGTAATTTAGTTAATAAATGTGGATAATTATGTAATTCTATTATAATTAGTAAATTTTTGTGCAATTCATTTGAAAATTCCATCTCAATTCCTCGAAATTGCTATAACTAGTTCCAATTCCGTAGAATTCAAAATTTTGAATTGAAAATGAATTCTTTTAAATACCAAATAGAAAAATATTTCATTTCAAAATGAATTTCTCAGAATTTATGTAATTCATTTGTACTAAACGGCATGTAAGAGTTCACTCATTATTCGGGTATTTTTATAAAATTGGTAATTCACCAAGTTAGACCGTTACATTTTATGTTCGAATAAGTTAGTTAGAATTTTTTTTTTTTATAAAACTCATGTCCTATTGGATATCTAAATATAAGTAGTTAGATTTCATCAAATATTAAACATAAATTTAATTATATTGATTCAATAAAAAAGAAACGGCATTGATTGGAACTTAATTGAATACAAACTGATCTCTAATTAATACATAGTAGAGCGTTCCTAACATAGGGGCCTCTGATTCTAACATAGAAACGTACATCTTCAAGCTGTAGTTTCCCTCAAAACTTTTTCGTTATCTATTAATACTTGACTTCTGCAGAACAATAAGCCTTGTGCTCACTCCCAAATTCCTGCATCTTTCTCTCTTGCCTAATCTATCTCCATTCCCCCCAATTGTACAATTATTACATAATGGTGGCATCGGCCTCCTTCCGTCAACAGATGTCGTTGGCCTTGATAATGGCATTGGGGATCAGCTTGTGGGTGCTCCACTCGAAGGTGGAAGCTGACGACATCTGCAAAGGGATAAGCAAACCGGACCCGGAATCCTGCCCCATTTACTGCCTCATAAACGACCCGGTCTGCGGTGCCGATGGCTACACCTATTGGTGCGGCTGCGTCGAAGCCATGTGTGCCGAGACTCAGGTCGTGCGATCTGGACAGTGCTGAAAAAAAAAAACAAACCTCTGTTGAGAATTGCATCTGTTCCGTTCCGTGTGCATGATCAATTTTTCATGTATTTATTTATTTATTTAATCTCTTGTAAACCCCCCTGACTTTTGAGTTCAAGTTTAGCCCCTAACCAATTCATGGTTTGGGTGAAACGAATAAATACAACAACTTCAACATAAAAGATTTTCATTGATGATAATGATCTCCTTGCTTCCAAATTCTTAACATGCTAATCCCTTTTTGTGGAAGAGGGAAGAGATATCAATCGAGAAGCTCAGAGAGAGAGACAACCCTTTTTGCATATACCAATATAGCAAGAAAGAGAAACGACGTCGTTCGACCAGTCCGCCACGAACGCCAAGCTAACCTCTTGACTGCTGATCTTCCATCAATCGTCCTTCTTAGCCGGCAACAACAATTTTTGGTCGTTAAACCCTGAATCGAAGGGGCAGCCTCCGATCTATCGACCCATCACCAATCTTCAGTGTGGATGTGACTTGAATCGGTCTATCAGCCGCTACGAATGGATTAGTCGGGGGTTCTGGGCCTGTTCTGTAACCGTTTCCTTTGCCAGATTGGATTAGGTTTAGGCCCACATTGAGAAGTACTATAAATACTTCTCATACTTCTCTGGCGCTGGCTCTCTCTCGCCTGTGGACTAGCTAACACACATCGTGTTAGTAAACCACGTAGATCGTGTGTCTGTGTTTTTCGATTCTCGCTTTCGTATTCTTGCTTTATCAATTTCGGAGATTTCCCAATCCGTATCAGCGCGTTTATAACAGGTGGTATGAAAGCCGCTCCTAGAAATCAGGCTAGGGTTTTCGATTAAGAAGAATGACGTCGGTGAACATGAAGATCGAAAATTTCACGGGGAAGAACAGCTTCGCTATATGGCAGATCAAGATGCAGGCTTTATTAAAACAACAAGGGTTGTGGGGGCCGCTGTCTGCGAAACAGAAGAAGGCAGCGGTCGATGACGCTAAGTGGAATACCCTGGAAGAGAAGGCCCACTCGACCATCATGCTATCGTTGTCTGATGACATCATTATTGGAGAGTCTATGTATAACGAAGTCCTTAACCTATACGCTGCATCTAAAGCAACAGTTTTTCAGCTTGAGGATGCAAGAAGGTACGCCTTTGAGTGAACACGAACAACTTAACTCTATTTTGCTGGATCTGCGTATTATAGATGTTCAAGTTGATGACGAGGATGCTGCCCTAATCCTGCTGGTTTCTTTGCCGAGTTTATATGAGAATTTTTTTGATTCTTTTATTGTCGGTAAAGAAAGCGTGCCGTTGGAGGATGTCAGGTCTGCTCTTCATACGAGAGAGATCAGGCATAAGGCGTTTGGATCTGGTACAAGTGGTGTGGTATCGGGTTTGGCTGTTACAGGTGAAAAGGGAAAGAAGAAATATGGCAAAGGGAATTCGAACAAGAATTCCAAGGGTCTTGTTCCACAGCCAGGTGATGCTTTTCACAACTGTAAGGAAGTGGGGCATTGTAAGTACAACTGTCCCATGAGAAGAGGGCAATAGAAGAAACCTGGTTCAGTTGCTGTGGCGGAAGTGGACAACAGTTCTGAAGAAGATCTCACCTTGGTTGTAGATAAGAAGGCACATAGTGGGGATGTGTGGTTTTTGGATACTGCAGCCTCATACCATATGTCTCCGAACAGGAATTGCTTCACAATCTACGAGCAGATAGATGGTAGTAAAGTGGTCATGGAAAATGGAGTTGTCTGCAAGGTTGTTGGAATCGGGTCCATAAAGGTTCAGGCACATGATGGTTCGTTCTGTACCGTGAATGATGTCAGCCATGTTCTACCAATGACAAAGAACTTGATCTCCTTGAGTATACTCGACAGCAAGGGTTTCTGTAGATTGGGTCGAGCGCGAGACTCCAGCGCCGGTTTCACTTCGTTTTGATGATCGGATGACAAACCTACAAAACCCTTAATACGCCCCTAGGGGGGTTTATATTATCCAAGTAACACAGCTAACGACTCAATCGAAGAATCGATTTAGCTCGAATCAAGAACGAAGCGTTCTTAATACGAACTTGGATAAAACGGAACCAAAAGGACAAATCCACACCTGGGGATAGCTCGATTGGTATAAAAGGGTAGTTGCTCGACCACGATTGAAGAGGATATTCAATCGATACAAAGCTCACAAGCTTGGAATCCACCAAACTCAAACAAGTCGCAACTTGCACAAAAACCAAAAGGTTTGTTTTTCGATTAATCAAAGTCCGACGATTACAATGCAAAAGACGAGTTTAAATAGGCCTAGCTAGGGTTAACTTTCGTACAAGCAACTCATAATTACAATCTACTACGAATAAGAACTAAAAAGTAGCAAAAAGGACCTAATCCTAATCAAATAAGGAAAACAATTATGTTTTTAGAAAGGCAGAATTTAGTGACTTTGTACTAACTTTGCGCCTTTCGTTCGAGGCCTTCCCAAACTCCAATTCTTCATCCAATTCCTTCCCTTTGTTCATAAACATACCTAGGATTATGTTTTGGAAGCCTTTGGACTTTAATAAGATCCATACTCCTCGAATTAAGCTCCAAAGTAGGCTTCACAAAACAGTTTTCTGCCTTAGCCATTTACTGGCAGTTTTCCCGTTTTGAGGTAGCAACTTTGAGGCCTTGGAAAACAACCTAAATGACATCATCTGGATCCACCAAGCATACCAATGGAAATATGGTAACTTTATCTTCAAAACAAACCATTAAACTTGAATTTACACCAAGCAAATTGAGATAAGCATGCCTCCAAAGTATGTACCCTGAACATGGACTTTGACTTGGCCAAATTCTGCCCTTCTTCTTCCCAACTTTGATGGCTTCTTTGTCAAGTAATTGTGACGTGAATGGTTGGCAATTTGGGATCATATCAACCCTAATCGGCGGATTGACCGAGCAAGTGAAGAATCGAGTTGTTCCTTTTTTCTTTTTCTCTGCTTGATGCAAATGAATGATAATGAATAATCAACGAAAAATGAAAAGCGGTGATAACTGATGGTAGCAAACAGAAGAATGGGCTTGGGCCCAACTACTTATCACCGAGAGCGTTTGGGCTTGGTCCTGCTTACTCCGACTTAGCCTGCTGGCTACTTCTTCTTCCTTGATCAACCAATGTCAGTTCTCTGTGTGGAAGCTCCCCTGTACCTGATCAACACACGACAGAAACAGAGAACACACACTGCACATATGTTTTTACGTGGTATCCGATATTGTGAGAAGAAAGATCCCAATATCGACTAATCCACGGTAGGTATCTCTCCCCTTGAGAATCCCTACGTAACTACTAGAACGATTTTCTGGTTCTTGATTACACCGCTAGAGTTTGAACTGGCCAGCTCCCTTCCTATCAATCTAACTCCTCTACTAATGTATAACCACCCGGATTACACACTCAGAAACGCTCGCTATTCTCCCCGATTAGCTTGTTTAGTTTTTCTATCAATAGCTCCTAACTTCTCTCACCGTACACAGCTTTTGATTTCCCTGAAAAACTTGACCAGCAACCTACATCATCTTTGTCATTAAATTGCCTTTTTCCTTCCAGCTAGCCAATGTGAGATGATGATTTGATTTCCCGCATATCTGCTCCAGCTTTCCTTCTTTGAGAACTTCCATTTTGGCCTTGATTGATTTTGTTGATTCTTTCCCTATTGACGAGCTTCACTCAACATGCTCCACCTAAGCTTGTCAATGGCTCTTCCTGCTGCACGCGTTTCTTTCCTGCACACACTCAACAAACTATTGGTGCAGTCTGCTCTATGCGAAGTACAAATATCAGTGGAAAGGGAAGTTTTTATTCTGATTAATTTAAAGATTGAACCATAGTACATACTCCGATTTCAAAAAAACAAACAATCAATAGGAAAAGCAAAATGGACACTACCACTCAACTGACATAACACAGAAACTGACTCATCCCTACAAGACTTCCCTAACCAGAAAATTGTAGCTCCCCCTGAGCAGATTCATCAGGTTCCTAGAAGGGGTAACTAGGAGGCGACTCATAGTATGAGATTTCATCTTTGGAACTAGAGTCAGATGAGATTGGATCACAGTCATCTGGAGCCAGCCTAGCTTCATCAAACTCCATCAGTTCAAGACATTCTTTGCAAACCAAAAGGTTTGTGGTCTTTGCATTACCAGTCTCTCTTTGACGCTTGACCTCACCATCTATGGCTGATATTGCAGATTGAGTAAAGGCTGTAATCAAGCTATCAGAGTTGGGATCAGTAGGAGAGAAGGCTTAGCAGCAGAGCATAGCGTCTCCCCCTGAGCCAGAGACGAACGAGGACATGATTAGGACGTAGATCATCATGGACGTTGCACACCGCTACTTTGTCGTGAAGATCAATGCCAAGGCGATGTACATAGCGAGTGATGAGGGGTCCAAAGGGTAAATCCCCCATGTAGGCAAACATCAGAGACTCATAACTTATGGGTTGACGAGCACGAGCATTGCCCATAATCCAGAGATCTAAGGAATGAAAAGCCCAGCACTTGTGATGTCGCGGGGAAGGAAGCATCGGGTGATGAAAAAGTGCAAGACTTTTAGATCATCAGGAAGACGACCAGCTGATAGCTGATTGGAGAAAGTCTTGCCAATGTCGCAGGTCAGCCGATCACGGGCGACACAAAAGTCAAACCCTTGTTCAGCAAAATCACTGTCATAACTTGCTTTAATCCCAGAATGAGGTAGTGATAGAACCGATGCAAGTAGGTCTGGTGTGACTTTGATTTCATGGTCATAAACCATGGTGGTGAAGGACCGTGGCGCTGTAGCATGGTCACGACGAATGTTGACATAGAATAGCCTGACTGCTTCTGGACAGTGAAGAAAGCGTTGATCCTTAGTCAACGATTCCCATCCCAATCCAGCAATAAGAGAGGAAATATCCATGTCATATTTTGAGAAGGCTGAAAGAGAGATGGTGAATGAGGGATAGATGGGACTTCGCGGAAGCAGCGAAGGTACCTTGAGTAAACTATAGCGTTACGAAAGCCTTGGTTTTTGAACCCGACGACAGGATGAAACTGAGCATTGTTGAAGGCCATTTGAGAATGAGATTTTATGAATTGGACGAGCGATTTTGAGGATGAAGGAAGGTGACAGAGATGCCCTATGGTTATATGGGTTGAGATAGAGTAAGCAAGGAAAGTGAATCACTCACGTTTTGGAGGTCCAGCAAGTGATTGCTGATTATCCGGGACAGAGAGAGACACGCTAAGAGGTCTAAGGAAAGAATCGAGATGAAATAAGGAAACTGAGAAGACACAGAATCCTAAAGGATTTCTGCTATTTCTTCGAGAGTGAACATCCCAAGTTCTCGACGAATGGGCAGAAATTTATCAACAGGCAGAGGTTTGGTAAAGATGTCAGCCCATTGTGAATATGTCCCTACAAATTCTAAGTGGATTTTTCCTTCTTGAACCAAATCACGTATGAAATTATACCGAACCTCTCTATGTTTAGTACGAGAGTGTTGAATTGGGTTTTTGGTCATGTTAATAGCACTTGTGTTATCACACAGGATGGGAAGAGAACACAATTGAAGACCATAGTCTTCAAACTGGTATTTTATCCAAAGTACTTGAATAAAGCCACGGAGCTTTGCTTTTTACTAAACCAGGAAACAAGTGAAGAACCTAGGAAGTGAAAGTCACCAGAAGTGCTTTTCCTGTCAATGACACACCCTGCGTAATCTGAGTAGCTATAGTTGATCAAGTTTAAGCTTGAGGAGCTAGGGTACCAAAGCCCGTGATTAGGAGTACCAACTAGATAACAAAAAATACGTTTAATAGCTGAAAGATGACTTTGGGTTGCTCTGAAAGTGAGCACATACATAGACACTATACATAATGTCAGGGCGCCTTGCCGTGTGGTACAAAAGTGATCCAATCATACCACAAAATTTTTTACAGTCAACTATTTTTCCAGATTCATCTAGTGTTAGTTTAACAGTGGAGCCCATGGGTGTAGAAGCTGCTTTTAAGTTGCCAAGATCAAAACGTTTTAACATGTTTTGTAAATATTTCGTTTGACTTATGAAAATCCCCTGACTTGTTTGTTTTACTTGTAGTCCAAGAAAATAAGTTAAGTCTCCCATAAGGCTCATTTCAAAAAGCATTTTTCATGTCACTCTCAAATTCTGAGCATAATTTTTGACTGGTGGAGCCAAAGATTATGTCATCAACGTAAACTTGAACTAGCAAGGTGTGTTCGTTTTCATTTTTAATGAACAGAGTTTTGTCAACTTGTCCACGATGAAATCCCTTTTCAATCAAAAAGTTACTAAGCTTCTCATACCAGGGTCTAGGAGCCTGCTTAAGCCCATACAAATCTTTATTAACCTTATACACATAATAAGGATGTTCAGAGTCCTCAAACCCAGGGGGTTGAGAGACATACACTTCTTCCTTTATTTCTCCTTTTAAAAAGGCACTTTTGACGTCCATTTGGTATAGTTTAAAACCTCGAGAAGCTGCAAATGCACACAACAATCGTATGGCTTCTAGTCTAGGTACAGGGGCAAAAGTTTCATCGAAGTCAATCCCTTCCTCCTGACAGTATCCTTGAGCTACTGACCTAGCTTTGTTTCTAGTAATAGTGCCAATTTCATCAGTTTTATTTCGAAAAATCCACTTAGTTCTAATGATTATTCGATCCTTAGGTCTAGGAACTAAATCCAACACATGAGTTCTGGCAAATTGATTCATTTCGTCATGCATAGTTGCAAACCAGTATTCATCTTTTATAGCATCATCAATATTCTTAGGTTCAAACTGAGCCACAAATGCAGTATGTTCTGCATAAGATTTGGATCGAGTGGTCATACCTCGACTTTGGTCTCCAATGATGAGAGATGGAGGGTGTCGGCGCACGATGTGAGGTGGAGCCTGAGGATTGTGATCCATTTCCTTTTCTTGCACACTGTTATCCTCCTCTGAAGGCCTGGTTTCTGTTTCTCGAACCTCTTGAGTGTCGTGACTTGCATGAGCTGTTCCCAACCCTAGATCACCATCCTCGTTGATGTTATCTGCACACTTACTGCAAGTCTCGTCAAATATCACGTGGACGGACTCCTCAACCATGAGGGTTCGTTGAAAATACGATATGCCCTACAGTTTACAGCATACCCGAGAAATATTGATTCATTTGATTTTGAATCAAACTTTCCCAAGTGATCTTTGGTATTTAGGACAAAACATTTTGCATCCAAAGGGATGAAAATAACTCATATAAGGTTTCCTATCTTTCCAGAGTTCATAAGGAGTTTTATTGATCTTAGGTCTAATAAGTGCTCAGTTTGTAACATAACATGCTGTGTTAATTGCCTCTCCCCATAATTGTTTAGGAATGCCATAATCATTTAGCATTGTCCGAGCTATTTCTATTAGAGTCCTGTTCTTCCTTTCTACCACACCATTCTGTTGTGGAGTTCTAGGTGCTGAAAATTTGTTAGTTATTCCCTTTTTATTGCAGAAACTCTAAAATTTGTTAGTTATTCTGTTCTGGATTGTTTTTCATTTTCGACCCGTTTGATAAATTCTTTTAAGTTTTGATAAGCTTCATCCTTTGTGGTAAGAAACAATACCCAGGTGAACCTTGAGTAGTCGTCTACTATCACAAAAGCATAGTAATTACCTCCTAGACTCATGACATTGCTAGGTCCGAACAGGTCAAAATGTAGCAGTTTTAGAGGTCTAGTGGTAGAAATGACCGTTTTAGTTTGAAGGAAGTTCTGGTAGATTTTCCTTTAGCACAAGCATCACAAAAAAAAAATTCATTGTTACTTAGAAGTTTTGGAACCCCCCAACAATACCTAGGTTTACTAATCTTGATAGAATCACAATGCTTAAAAGTCCCAATCTTCTATGCCATTCAAATTGATCATCTTTATCAACTGAGACTAGACACATTTCATTGAAGGCAGATTTGTCTTCAAGATTTATTGAAAAGAGTTTTCCCTTTCGTTTACCTGTTAGAACGAGCTTGTGGCTTACTATGTTTTCACCAAAGCATTTATTTTGTTCAAAAATTACTCTATTTTAGGTTCCACAGAGCTGCCCTATTGACAAAAGATTATGTTTTAGATCTTTAACCAGCAGCAGATTGCTAATAGAAGGGACAGATCCTACTGTACCTTTACCTAAGATTTATGGGCTAAAGTTATCACCAAAAAGACTTTTGCTTTGTTTTCCAGAGTTAGTTTTGAAAAGAGGTTTTTATTACCCGTCATGTGATGTGAGCATCCACTATCAAATATCCAAACGCTGTCTTCCATGCTCACTTGGAGACAGGTCATCAAGAGTAGACACAGTTATTTAGTTTTAGGTATCCAAACTAGCTTAGATACCCTCCTGGACTGAACTAAGTTTGTATATATATCTAGTTCATGTTCTGAATTTTCGTGCCTAAACTGTTTTGTTCAGTTTTCCTTAGTTATCCGCTTTCTACAGTTAGCTATGTAATGACCAGTTTTGTGACAGTAAAATTATTCATGATTTTCATGCGTTTCTGTTCTTTTCACAGATACAGACTTTACTTTAGATCTCATTTTTATCTGTGCTAACTCTGCTTTGGTGTTTTTGATTTGTTCCTTTAACCTGCAGTTGTCATGCATCAGCTCTTGAACCTTGTTCTCTGCACTTAATTTTTCATTCATCATTATTTCAAACTCATTTTGTTGTTTTTAATGGCTGATTTTGATTGAGAGGTATTTATTTTTCACATTTACGCATTCATTATGAATATTCCTAATAGTTTCATCTAGTAATTCATCATTATTACTATCAGAGTCAGAGTAATAGGTTGTTGCCTGAGATTTTTCTCCCTCGTAGTCATCAATATCCATGTAAGCATTGTACTTGTGATTGGGTTCATCCTCCTCTTCATCTTCTTCACTGCAGCTCCAGGTGGAAGCAAATGCTTTTTCTTTCTTGATTAGTGGGCACTCAGCTTTGATGTGCCCTGTTTTCCCACATCTGAAACATCCAGCTTGAGTCTGAATCTTTTCATTGCTTGCTCCTTCCCTTCGACTTCTAAATCCTTGTCGTGCCCCTTTGTTGCTTTCTTTGTCGATGTCACCATCTCTTGGTTTGTTGGAGAAACCTCCTCTCTTCCTTTCTCTTCTGATTTTGAGCAGCTTTGCCACATGCTTGCTGATCATTGCTAGCTCATCATCTTCCATTTCATCCAAGCAATCCAGATCATCTTCTTGAGTCGTGGCTTTGAACGCTATCCCCTTCTTTTCCCTTCTTGGCTCCTCCAGGTCTTCCCTTTTCAGTTTATCTTCATGTGTGATAAGGGACCCGATCAGTTCATCCAGACTGAGCTTGGTGAGATCTTTAGATTCCTCAATCGTTGTGACCTTGGGAGTCCATTTCTTGGGTAATGCCTAGAGTACCTTTTGAACCAGATCAACACTGGCGTATTCCACTTCCAAGTTCCTCAATATGTTGACTATCGTGGTGAATCTGTCATTCATCTCCTTAATTGACTCTTATGGCTTCATAATGAACGATTCGAACTCTTGCTTGAGGCTTTTATCCTTGAGAGCTTGACATGAGAAGTGCCTTCAAGCGCAATCTGCAGTTTATCCAAGTTTTCTTTTGCAGATTTGCAACCAGTCACTCTATGGTATTCTTCTGGCCCCAATGCACAGTACATTAGGTTTGTTGCCTTCGAGTTGAGTTGAAAGTTCCTCTTGTCGACTTCTGTCCAATTTCTGCGAGCTTCCTTCACTTCCCGAGGGAAATCCATGACGATATTCCATAGATCTTGATCAGTTAATCCTATAAAGAGCTCCATCCGATTTCTCCAGTAGCCATAGTGCACACCTTCGAACCTTGGAGGACTAGTCTGCGAAAAACCGTCTGCCATAAAGATTCTGGTTGCCATACCGAGCTCATTTTCTCCGAAGATGGTTGCACCTTTAATGTCAGAGCCAGGCTCTGATACCACGTGTAGATTGAGTCGAGCGCGAGGCTCCGGCGCTGGTTTCACTTCGTTTTGATGATCGGATGACAAACCTGCAAAACCCTAATCAGCGCAT